CCTTTTCGAATTCGTACGGATCCCTACTATCAATTGGCATTCAAACATTTCAAAAATCGATGGGTTAAAAAAAGTGGTTGACCAAAAACCGATTCGTTTGTAAAGTCAACCTTTTTTGATGTTTTTTTGGAATATCTCGGTCAAATATATTATACCTTTTTGAATTCGTACGGATCCCTACTATCAATTGGCATTCAAACATTTCAAAAATTGATGGGTTAAAAAAAGTGGTTGCCCAAAAACCGATTCGTTTGTAAAGTCAACCTTTTTGATGTTTTTTTGGAATATCTCCGCCAAATAATTCCCGATTTTAGAATTTTATACCAATTTGGACTCGTAAGGATCAATTCTATCGATTGGCATCAAAAGAATGAAAATCCAAATTTTCACCCAAATCGGCAAAGTGGCAAGGGGTTACATCACGTTTTTTCTAAAAATCGGGGTCGGTTCGAAAATCAAAACTTTTTTGATAATTTTTTTTTGAATATCTCGAGGAAATATTGAGAGATTTTGAAAGGATACCTTTTTGATTTCGTACGGATCCCTACTATCAATTGGCATTCAAACATTTCAAAAATCGATGGTTTAAAAAAAGTGGGTGACCAAAAACCGATTCGTTTATAAAGTCAACCTTTTTTGATGGTTTTTTGAAATATCTCGGCCAAATAATTTCCGATTTGGGAATTTTATACCAATTTGGACTCGTAAGGATCAGTACTATCGATTAGCATCCGATTGGTTGGGATCCGTACGAATTCATAAAGGAATTCATATAATGCCTTCCAAAATTATAGAACTCCGATGGCGGTGGTATGTCGGCGGAATTATGTCGCTATGCCGGCGCTATGGAATAGTTGAAATTGAGCTTCGCCTGAAAGTATGCTGCAAAAAGCGGCCACCTGTAATGCACAGCCGAAATGTATGCCGCTCAACATGTTCGCTGGCCAACATGTTGCGTTCCACACACTCGCGTGTGGAACGTGTTGTACAACAGCTAGAAGTCGACTGCGGTTGGCTCTGTTAGGCTAACAGTAGCAGCAATGGTCGCTGCGGTGCAGGTTGCCGATGGCTGAGCTGAGACTGTGAAAAGCCAATTCGATCGGAATCCAGAGGGAAACTCTATGGAATTGTTCGCATCCAATCGATCTCTCAGATCGGCTTATATAATATCATTGTACATTTTTATGTTAGACTTAACAGTAGAATAAGTAGTATTCTAAATATTCATATAATTTTAATTTAAGTTGTTCCCATAATAACAGTAAAATTACCAAAAAACAAAAAAAATAAATAATATAAATAAAATTAATTTAATTGTTTGTAGGATCGAAACTGTGGGAAATGAGATAACTCTGGTAGAATATTTGTTTTGCATTTGAAATCTTTATTTAATTTTTCTGCGTTATTCGTTTCTTGTGTTGAAGTTCTCATTAAATTAATTATAGTTTTAAAACATTATTTGTTTTTATTTAGTTGTGATCTTTTTTTGTTTTTGTTTTTGTTTCATCAATAATTAATATGCATAACGTTACTTACAGTTGGGTTGCTTAAATTAAACAATAATAATCATATTTTAATGACAATAATGTGCAAACGTTTCGTGCCAAAACGTTTATTCAAAGTTTTTATATTAAATAATGCCTATATTCAAGTTGTTTTAAGAGTGTGTGTGTGTGCGAGAGAGAGAGAGAGAGAGAGAGAGAGAGAGAGTATCTGTGTGTGTGCTTAATTTGCAGACGGTTCTAATTAATGTTCGTTTTCGGTTTCGGTTTCGGTTTCAGTTTCGCTTTCGCTTTCTCTGCTGATCTCTGGGCGGCACTTTAGTGCACTTTCCTGTCTCTGCTTGGTTTATCTCTCTTGTGGTTTATAGTTTTATAAAATATCACATTTTAAGCTTTTTTTTATATATGAAAAACAAGACAAGCAAAATATTTATATCTAGAAATAAAATTGCATTGGAAAGGTATATAAAGAATGAGAAAAAAATATAAAAACTATTTATTATAATTATATATTTATAGCATAGCAAAAGGAACGCAAAGCAGCTGTCGAATTGTATCTCAAATCATATCTTATCTGTGTCTCTGTGTGTGTGTGTGTGTGTGTGTGTTTAGCATTTTTATGTTTTGTGCTAAATGTGTTTTATCTTCTTCTTCATTTTTGTTTTTGCTTTGTTAAAAGTTTCTGGTATTTGAATAGTTACGCTGCTGGTTTTTTCATTTTATTATTATTTTTAAATCCAATATTTTATGCATTTCATTTCGATTTTGGTTTCTTGAATTTTTTTATATTTTCTTGTTTTTTGTTTTTGCTCTTTATGCTTTACGTTTATGTAGACATTTAAAATTCTGCAAAGTGCAGTTGAGAATTTAAAATTTGATATATTCGTGTGCATTTCCGTTTGTCTGTGTGTGTGTGTGTGGGGGGTGCCCAAAAGTATGCAACGCCTTTTGCAAGTGACAAATTATGATATTGCCCCACATTTTGGTCACCCACCCGTCGCTCTGCTCCGGTTAGTCTCTGCTTTGTGGTCTGTTCCATGTGTGTATGTGTTCTGTATTTAGCTACAATTTCATTTTAAAATGTTTCTTACATATTTGTTTTTTTTTTTTCGTTTTCTGCTTGATTTGTGCCTGCCATTGCCAAAGGGGTTGGCAACGCAGGCAGCCAAACCTTTGCATTGCCTGCTTTTTGGCGCAACGGCAAAAGGGAATTTTTGGCGATATTGTGACGAATTGCCCAATCGAATCGTTTAGCTTTGCAAATTGTTATCAATATTATTATAATTATATTTATTATTATTATTTTTGTTTTTTTTTTAATTTTTTAAGTTGATTTTAATTACACCACATGCAAGGGAAATGGGGGAAGGCTTAGCGCTTCGGTTGGGCGGTTGGGTGGTTGGGGGGTAGAAATGCACTTCACGTTTACAATAATGACAGCTTGACAGTGTTCTATTTATGTCAGTAAGTATATCCATCGAATCTTTCATTTATATATATATCCGTAAGTAGATATACATAGATTAATTTATATATATATATATATATAGATATAGATACATATATGCAATTGTTTTTAAGACACATTTTTTTAATAAGTAAGTGAACGACTCGCCAACTGTCCGACTGTCTGTCTGCCCTGCTCTAGCTGACTGTCAAACAACTATTTAGCTGTATTCACGAGTATGTGTATGTGTTTGAAGTGTTTGGGATATTCCTTTTACTTTAAATTTTGCTCTTTCTCTCATTTTTTTTCTATAAGTTACTTTTATTTGTTCTCTTTGCGCGAATGCAATTATAGTTGACAGACCTGGACAAATTCAAATAATTTGATTTTTCTTATATATTTTACCGACTCTTTGCTTATCCTTCGAAGCGCTTCTCGCTTCGCTCTGTCTTGCTGCTGTTGCTGCATTTTTGCTGTTAGCTGTGCGTCAATTAAATTATTAACGTGTCCAATTTATTTACATATGTTTAACACTCAGAGCTTAAGTCTAACTAAGAATTATGCGTTTATATGGTAATAATAATAATGTTCGAAAAAAAACCTTTTTAATACACATATATTCGTATATATTATATTGTTTTTATTAAAATTTTGCCAGCGGCGTTTTCCATCAATATATTTTATGTCTATATACAAGCAATGCTAGTTTATAAATACAAAAAAAATTGTTATCGTATATATAGTATACATTTATATATATTTATATATATTTAAATTTATAGATTTGTATTTATGTGTATGATAATATATTTGCCATGTGTTATATATATTTTTTTACTTCGTTTTTATTTTTCTTCTCGGTTTTATTTGTTTTTATTTTTCAAACAAACGCGCTTAGTTAAGACAACTTCTTGGCCAGGCCAGGCCAGGCCTGTCCTAGATCTAGTCTATTAAAAAAAAAAAAAAAACAACAACAATTCTCAATGCTAATTCTAGACCCAAAAAAAAAACTGCATTTCACATAGTTAGTTTATAGAATGGATATCAATTGTTTATGTACATGAATAAAATAAATATGTGTGTGTAAACTCTATGTATTATGTATGTATGTATGTATATATATGTATATAGACACATATGGCTAACATTAATAGCGTGCGCCAAGTTTTGCCAGATATCCATGGTTAATACATATATTTTAAATATATATATTCAACATTCAATTCTGTGCTCTCAAAGATTACTCAAATACATCAATATAGGTATATATATATATATGTATATATATATTTATGCATATGTATATATATGTATGTGTGTGTATGCATGTCGTATTAATACACATAGATAAATAATTTAATTTAACACTCAAATTGTTTATCGTTTATCGCTATTCGTTAAATATTTTTTTTAAATGTTTTTAGATAATCGCACTCGTTATCTATAAAATTCACTACATATGTGTGTGTTTTTTCGCCTTTTTAGGTATTTTGCCGTGTGTGTGTGTGTGTGTGTGTGTGTGTGTGAGTGTGTGAATGCATTCATGCCTAGAAGAAAAAACTACCTAAAATATCCAGCAAAATCATTTATGCTTCGCTTTCAGCTTTACAATCCGTTAACGTCTCTGTCTCCGTCTCTGTCTCTATTTCCGTCTCTGTCTCTGGTTCCGTCTCCGTCTCTGGCTCCGACTCCGAGTCCGAGTCCGAGTTCACTTCCGTTTCCTTTTTATAGTATAACACTTTGTAGTTAGTCTGTTGTAGGTACCTTGCGTTTCGCTTTGATGTCACCCAATTCTTGATTCCCACTCACAACATGTCCGCAAAGGAGCCGTATTGCTCGTGAAAGATCGGACGGCAGCACTCCTCGACGGCATCGTATTTGTAATGACGGCTGCGGCCAGTGTGACCGTATCGTTGCTTTTGCTTCTGCTTCTGCTGCTTCTGCTTCTGCTGTTTGTGGCTAGAAATGTTGCTGCTGCTGCCGCCGCAAATGCTGCTGCTGCTGTTGTTGCTGCTGTTGTTGCTGCTGTTGTAGCTGTTGCTGGTGCTGTTGCAGTTGTTGTAGTTGCTGTAAATGTTGTTGCTGTTGTGCTTCTGCGGCTGTTGGTAGCGCTGATGCGCATGCAAATGCGTATGCGAATGTGGTTGGTAGTAGTGGATGGCGTGGCATGAGGCAGTCTTTGTATTGTATTCCTTTAAAAAGAACCAGAAAAACACGATGCAGTTATTTAAACAATTTGTATGGCATGTGTGCAATGTGCTAAAAGGATGACTGCAACAAATATAAATGTAAGCACTGAACAGAAGTCAACTATGCAGATTTAATTGACGCTTAGCTACATACATATACAGTGTATCATGAATGAACTTTGTAATACTTATATTGAAAATGAATAAATACAAATATTATCAAGATAATATTTCTAAATTGTTTGTGCATTTTTTATATAGTTCGACTTGGACAAAGGCATTTGTTACCTTTGAAGATAGTTAGCAGATAGATATATAATATATGTACATATGTATAGATAAATAGATAACTCTTGCAAGAAATGCATATATATATTTGCCCGATTAAAATCAAGATATTAGCAGCTCAGTTATAAAATAGATTTCAATAAATTTCCATTATACATTTTCGAAATTCTTAAAATTCTCAGAAATAATATCAATATATTTTTATTATTATTCAGAATACAAAAGAAGTATTTGATATAATACGATTCGCTCGCGATTTTTTAGTCCCTCTTCAGCCTCTCTTCATGCCTGCCTCTACCCATCTGTCTCTCTTTCTTTTTCTCTGTCTTAATTTCTCTTTCTCTCTCTCTCTCTTTTCCGCCGTTTGCTTATCTGTCGCTCTGCCTCGCTCCATCTGGCGTCTACAACTTTCCTTTCGATGGTCAGCAAAATGTTGCCAAAATTGTCGCAACAAATTGCCAAAAGGTTTTGCTGCATTTGTTGTTGCTGCTGCTGGCGCACTGCCCGCTGCCTATGCGTGTGTGTGTGTGAGTAAATAACGTTCTCAAGTGCTTTAAGGTAGCCGCCGCCGCCGCCGTCGACGCTGTTGCTGCTGTTGCTGCTGCTGAAGCCCTGAAGCCGCATACACATTATCAATAAATTGCATCTGACTGCCAACGCAGACAACGCAGTTGGCGCAGCCACGCCCCCATTCAAAAACACACACATCACACACAAACACATGAACAGGCACACATCGCCCTTTGCTATGCTTCAGTTTATTATTAAAAGGCAAAATAAAATGTTTGCCCCATTTCAGTTCATGTTCCTCTCTCTCTCTCCCTCTCTCTCTCTCTCTATTTCACTCGCTGTCTCTCGTGCAGCTGCCGCTGTGGCACCTTGTTCTAATTTATTTATTGTTGCATGCATGTACAATATAATTTTATTGGGTGTCTGGCCCAGCCGACGTTAAGGACACCAGCAACTAGCCGTTACCCTAACCTTTCGCCCCCTGCCAACCCGCTTTTCGGATATCTGGTTGCCTTTCATCCTTGTCTCGGCATCCGCACACACTTGACCGCATTGCGAGCTTTAACAATTATGTTGGAAAATTTGTGAAAAGTCAACTGGATAACGGGCTGCCAATTTGATACACTTGCCACAGCTCGCACACACGCTCACACACACACACACACCCTTGATGCTGCTGCTGCTGTTGAGGGGCGGCGCTTGACATTTGGCGCCAAAATTATTAAGCGGATAGAGGAGCTGTACACTACCAAAAGCGGTTTAAGCAACACGCAAATGTTCTACAAAAACAACAACAATAACAACACACACTCGCACACACACGCGCACGCACAGGTGACCTGCCCCGCCCCACCCGGCCAATGCCAGCGCCTTGTAGAATGTTTTTTGTTTTAAGTTTATTGATGTCGACGTGCGTTTTTCATGCCTCAGCACACAGCCGCACGAGAGTGGACAGAGCCGCGCGGAGGGGCGGGCAGGTGGCAGTCGGGCAAAGTGAGAGTGAGAGAGAGAGAGGGGAGGGAGGCAAATCGGATGGCAGACGCGTCTGCGACGTGACAAAACCCATTATAGATGCGACCGCAAAGATAACACTCTGACAGAGAGCCTGGGCCAGCAATGGCAGCCACAGGTCGGCGGCAGCGGCAGAGGCGGGGACGGAGCCGGGGACAGAGACGGGGACAGAGACGGAGGCCAAGCTCCGGAGTGGGTGTTCGTGTAGAGCTCCTGCAGCAGCAGCTGATGGATGTGTGTGTAAGCGTATGAATGGCAATGAAACAGGCATGCCCCAAAATTAAAAGGTAAGACTTCAATAATACCCTGTAGCCGAAGAGCGGCCTAAGGCGGGCTTGTGACTGAGTTAAAGTAATTTATATAAAACAAGTAGCATAAAGTAGATTTGTATATGCACTGAGAGAAAAGGAATACTGGGAGAAAATAATAATGCATTTACAAATTTAAGACATTCAAGAGCAAGAAAGAACAGGAAAGTCAGGATTAAGGGCACATAATAGATATGTACACTCAGAGAATTTAGAGAGACGAGAAGAATTAACATAACATAACATAACATCACACAACAACAGAGAATATCAATGGGTGCATTTACAGGGCATCTGCTAGTCGAGCAGCCAAACATTATACAGTCAAATGTTTTTTGTTTGCACAGGTTCGGCTTTCGTTTCAATTTTGGTCAGGGGGTGTTTCATAAATTTCATTTTGTAACCATCAAAAAGTTAAGTCAACGATAAATTGAATGGCTGCATGATTGACTGACTGACTGACTGACTGACTGACTGACTGACTGAATGACTGCATGAACGAACAAGGCGCAGCGCCCCGTTTGGACACAGCTGCCAACTGGACGCCACCCCCCAAAAAAAAAGAAGAAGAAGAAGCGGGCTGCTGACTGCTCCGCCAGTTGTTCGTTGGAAATTATGCGGCTCGTCGGCTGGCCAGACAGCGCAGACGGTTGAACACACACACACACACACACACATACACACACTAACACACATGCACATGCATATGTACACACAGAGCACATAGAAATATCAAGAGCTACAATATTAATATAAAAGTGACAACAGCCACAACAACGACAACAAGCTAAAAGTCAAAAGCCGTCAAAAAGCGTCATTGAACCTTTAACCAGCTCATCCGCGCATGAGGCAACTGTCCAAAAGGCAGCGTGTGCTCAGGGCCAGACCCGCAGAGTGGGTTGCCCAATTGTCCAATAACAAAGGGACATCCAGTGCCATGGCAGCAGCAAGGATAAGACGACAGCAACAGCAGCAGCTGAAGCAGAGTTTCCAAGAATCTGTTGAGCTCACTTAGTCGGAGGGCCATAGAAATTATGAAGCTCAATCTCTCTCTCTCTCCCTCTCTCTCGCTTTGTATATCATATGGTGCAGAAAATATCGACTAAAGGTTGGGTAAACATTTTTGATATTGTATAAAGAATGTGTGAAGAGTGATACAATTAATATGCAAACATAGATAACTTTTCTCTTCATGAGTCAAGCCTTAATAGCTTATTGGCAACAATAAAAATATTAATAAAGAATATAGTAATAAACCATTTCTATTGACATAGGCACATCTGTAAACTCTTGTTAAATAAAGCAGAAAATTATAAAAATAATCAAAAGGTTTCTAGCCGAGAAGGGCCTTAATATAGCAATGGAATGTGTGCAAATACAAAAGGATATAACATCAAATATTATCGGAAATATTCCAGATCTGTGTATACCAACCGAAAGCCTAAGTTCAAGCGCCCGACCCCATTTAAGGCTAGACTATATTTATTATTTAATTGGACATTATTTGTAATATCAAATAGAGATAAAGATGGCATATTAAGACTTAAAGAAGTATTAAGAATAACTATATACTTAAAAGAAACTGTGTACTACTGTAATTATGTTTAACACTTTGATTATCAGAATTTGTATAAAATAAAAAAAAACGGTTGCCTACTTTTTTGGGCGTGCAAGCAGCGCTGATGTTTTGACAAAATTCATTGCGCGCAGTTCGCTGAGAGGGCGGGGTGGGGCAGCTGGCGTGCACTTAAAGTGTTTTTCAAGGCATTGGCGATTTTCGACCAGTGAAAAATTTCTGACAGGTCATAAATTGGCGCCACGAGTGGCCAAGCGGGGCTCCAACTCCCCGGCGTTCTCTGTTTGCACTGTGGGACGACTCTTGTGGGGCGTTGGTTGTTGGGATACAGTTGTCTGCATGGAGTGCGCTCAGAGTGCCCAGCCCAGGCAAACACCAACACACACACACACACACACACTTATACACATATTGTTGGTTGTTTGCCTGCGTCGCGGCTGTTGTTTATATTCCACACCGAAACGAAACGAAAGGCAGCCCAAACAAAAGCCGTTGCACAAACATAGGTGTGAAGCGCCAACAACAACAACAACAACAACAACAACAACAACAGCAATGAGCAAAACAACATCAAACTAAGTGCCAACTCTGTCCACAGGCAGTTGTTCTGATTGGGCATATTCAGCTAAAGGCACAACAAAATAAGAAATAGTTCAATAAATGAAAAAAAAAAAACATTTTTACAACTAAACTTACAAACACATCATATATTAATTTAAAACAAAGTTTTGATTTGAAATAAACTTAAGTAAATAGCTAAAAAATACTTCAAAAGAATTCAAAATTTGTAATATATTTTACAGGATATTTTCTAGTCGTTTATTTGCGACTGCAGAGTCGCGTTTATTTGCTTGTTGTTGTCCCTGCGGCTGCGCTACTTGTACAGTTAATGAACCAAGCGTCGCATCGCGTTACATTGCCAAACTAAAGTCCGACTTTTTCAACCCCAACACCCAAAAAATAAATGGATAAAATAAAAAAAAAAATGCAAAAAAAAAATTTGTTGCACACGCTGTTTTATTAGCCCGACAGCAACAAAATGGCCGCCAGTATGCGGCTGCAGCGGAACCGGAAACTGATTGTGCGGCTCAGATTGACCAGCTCTATCGCTGCATAGAGCTCCTCCCCGCCCCTCCCCATTGACTCACACCATTCCGCTGCTACCCTTAACCACCTTTGCCACAACGTTTGTCAATGCTGCAAATCTCATCTCATTAAAAGCGCACGCGATTTGGGCGCGTTTTGCGCGCGGCTTTCCAATCAGCCGGTCATTTGACATTTTTCCATCAAACGTTGATTAAGCGTAGCTG